TCTCTTCCTTTCTCCCTCTCCCTCTCCCTACCCCTCCCATATATATATATATATATATATATATATATATATATTATATATTATCTTGATATCATTTCTCTTCTCTCCTTTCATCTTAAACTAAACAAGATCACAATATTATTTTTTTAATTTCATTTTTATTTTACTCAAACCAAACAACCCAAAAGATATACCTTATAACTAATCTCCTTTGTTATAATCAATGTAATACAATAACTATTTTTCTACATAATATTATTAGAAATATACATGGAAAAGAGCAAATAATACTATAATAAAAAGTTAACATGACACATAATTTAAGGCTTTTTTTTTTTTCTTTTGACTTATTATGAAATAGAGGGAAAGTAGTATTAAACATATATTTTATTAGATATTTTAACTTATTTTAGAAACTAAATATTACAATAAATATACTTTTTTTTAATAATTATTCAATACTTACTTTATAGGATATAGAATTATGATAAGAAATCAAAAGTCAAACTTTTTGTTTATTAAAAAAATGTTATATAGTTCTTGACTATTTTTTTCTCTACCAAAAAAAGAAAGAACTATTGACTTTTAATGCAAATTTATCATAGTTTTAATAAAAATGAATTACTTAACTAATACGTAGTATTTAAAACACCAGTTAAAGATCCTTAAAAATTGATTTCCTTAACCGAATACGATAGGAAGATTAATCATTAGTCATTTACTTAGGCAATTTACAATGATTCTTGCCAAATTTGTGAGATTTGATTTTGTCACTGAAACAGCGGTTGCGAAATGGTAAAGAAACTAACAATTTAACATGCTGATGGTGTCAAACTGCTGAGGCAAGTTGTCTGGAAAGCGATGACTTTTTGTCTGTGTGCGCAAAAAAATTCAACCAAGGCTATATTGGATATTAAATAAAGAGTTAATCATCTATATTTTATTAGTATAAAGTTTTTTATGTTAGTAATTAATTATATTTTTTAAATTATTTTATAAATTAATTACTTATATATTTTCAATATAAAAGTTTTTTACACTGTCTACTAATCATGTCTTTTAATAGTATTATGTTATTTTCTTATTCAATGAATTAAAAATAAAATAAAATAATTTAAATTATATGATTGATTGTCCGTGTAAAAAACTTTATAATGACAATATATGCATGATTAATTTTTATTTTATTTTATTTTTAATTCATTAAATAAGTAAATAATATAACACTATTAAAAAATATGATTAATTGGTAGTATAAAAGATTTTACACCATCATAAATAAAACCTTTAACCGGAAAAAACGTTGAGTATTTTACACTCCACGGATACGATGAAACTATTGGCAGATAAAATCTGCAATAGATTTAAATGGCTATTCCATAATAATGAGGTCAACATAGATGCTAAAGTACTCATATATGTCTGCATTTTAAGAATATTCAAATATTCTTAATTATATATTTTTATTTTTTATTCTAAGGAAAAATATATTTTTTTATTTTTAAATATAAATAAATTTAACTATTTTTATATTATTTAATAATATTTTCTCTAAAATATCTTCCTTTAACACAATATTTCAATTGTACTACTTCTTATAATATTTATAATAAGAATGATTTTGAAAGAATCTCATATAAATAGTAAAATTTAATACAAATAACTAATTTTCTTAAAATATGTAAAATCAAATTTTTTTCTTATAATAGAAAGTAAAAGAATTAAAAAGTAATTTAATTTAATTTAATTTAATTTTATACTAAATATATGTGCCACAATACTTGTACTAATTAGAACAAATAATGGGAAATTATTATGTACTTTATCCTTGTCATTATCATCTATATTCACTATTTGATACACCTTCATAGTTTCATTCACCTTATTAAGATACGATATTTCTTTGTAAGTTTTTTTTAGTACTATAATTTCACTTGCTAGTCTTTATAATTTAATATGACTTTTTTTAGTTTTTATATTTTATTTTTAAATTTAATAATTTAAAATAGATATTTTTAGTCTAATAATTTAAAATAAATATTTTTAATTCTAATAGATTAAAATATATAATTTTAATCTTTATACTAACATATTTGTAATTCTTTTAGTCCTTATTCTTAATTTTTTTTAATATTGTCTATTTTGTATTCATATAATAAAAGTTTTCAATTTTTGCGAGAATTAAAAATAGAATGTCTCAAGAATAATCATTAAAAATGAGAGTAAAAAAACACATAAAATATTAAAAAAATTAATTTAGAATAATTTTAACAAAATAAAATAAACATCAAATACATATAATTAAATTAAGATCTCTATTATATCAATAAGATAATTTTAAAAATATTAATGATAAAAATTAAAAAACTATAAATATTGAGAATAAACAAAAATCTATATTAAACTATAAAAAAATAAATAATATAATATAAAGATTAAAAAAGATGTATTTTGAAGTATAGATAGTTAAAAAAAGAAGAAAGTAAAAGTAACCTTCTTTCTATCTTTATCATTCTATTACAGTAAATACATTTGTATTTTTATGAAATGAAAAAGATGTAGTAGTACTTTACATTCATGATCCAGGACAAGTCTCAGAACAGAACAAGCGTGTGTTGTGTGCGTGAAACCACAAGAAGCTTCTCAGAAAACCCCTCAAAACTCATGCCATGCCGTGCTTTTGTTTAATCCAAATTATTTTTCTTTCTTGCTTTTTTTAAGGACAAACAACATCGTTAATTGAGAGAAGTCTCTTATAGTTGTTACATGACGCACACTTCATTAATTTTGATGCTGGGTCTCGGAGTTGTTGGGTGAATAACTCCTCCTGCCACAGCCCACAGCCATTAATTTCTTAACGTTGCCGAACCCAGAAGCTAAAGGTACCACTGTACTAGGATCATTCCTTCAATTCGGGTACTCTATAACTTTCATTTCCTCAAGCATTTATTGAGATAGATGGCGTCCCAACCGCAAGATTTAATAATTTCTATAAACTCCAACACCCTATAGTCAACGCTTTTCCACTTCCATCAAACACCCTAACCCAACCATCATCATTTCACAGTCCAATGTTTCATCACAACACAAAGCTCTTCATGCTTCTCGCAATCTTCACGTTCTGTTCAGCAACCGCCAAAGCCAACACCTGCAACAGCACTTGCGGAGGACATTCCCTGCTATACCCTTTCGGCTTCTCTCCCGGCTGCCCAGTCAACCTCGTCTGCACCAAAGACAACAAAGTCAAAATCGGCGACTTCGAGGTTCAAAACGTAACCTCCGAGACCATTTTCGTTAGTGTTCCGGTGAAGTGCAGCCGCAGCGTGAGAATCATGGAGCCTCTTTTCGGAGAAAACTATGCGCCCACGTGGAACAATAATTTCCTGGTGCAGAATTGTTCGCGGAATCTGAGTGGGTGCGCTATTGAGGCGTGGGGTTTGGGCCGCGGCGTGGAGGGGTGTGACAAGGCAGGTGGAATCGTTACATGCTTCACGCAGTTGCAGAGGAAACGTAAGGGGGAGAATTTTCTGACGCTCGGAGATTGGAATGAGATTGAGTGTAGTTTCTTCTTCTCTGCTCTGGCTTTTGATAAGAGTAAAGCCAAAGGGCTTTCGCTTCAATTTCAGTTGTTGGAGTTGGGGTGGTGGCTTCCTGGGCCCTGTAATTGTTCCACCCATGCTTCCTGCGATAAGGTCAATCTTCCCACTAACAAACAAGGTTTCCGATGCCGCTGCAATCAGGGTTTCTACGGAGATGGATTTGCCAACGGCACCGGTTGCCGGAGAGGTCACTCTCTCTCTCTCTCTCTCTCTCTTCTTTATCACTTTCTCTCCATCACAAAATAATCATATTAATATTATTAGCAAGTTATTAAAATTATTAATAAATTATTATTCTCGTTTATCTATTTATTACTTTTTCTTAATTAATAAATATATAGCTTAAAATTGATAGTTATTATATTATTATCTTCTACTTCTCATGCCTTAGATAATTTAAGACTAATAAACATGTGTTAAAAAATTTTAATACATATAAATTTGGACGAAAAGTCTTTATTTATTATTGTATTCTATTATCTTAATTTTATTATTTTTGTTTTTGTAAAAATAAGTGAATAGTTATTAATAAAAATTAACTATTAAATAGGGATATATAGTTTAAAAGAAATATTAATTATGTTTTAAAATTTTAAGATATCAATTGTTTTGAGAAAAAAAGACTATAAAGACTAAAGATTTGAGATGAATGGAATAGAATAGTTATTTTACACTTTCATCCTGGTTAGCGGAATCATAATAATGAGGTAAATGCTAAACAATGTCTAAAGTATTGTTTAAGAAATAGTTTAGTAAATCTAAAAGGAATCAAGTGATTGATAGTAATAATGATGGTGAAAATGGATGGTGATTATAAAATAATTGTTGAATGATGATCAAGTAGGGTTTGATATCTGGTTGCGGCTTTATGCTTCGGGCGACGAGGTTGAATATAGTATATAATACTAGCGTGGGATGGTGCATCGGAATTTTGGGGTTGAGTTTTTTAAGTGGGGGAATCTTTTAAATATCAATTTGTGCTTTATCCAGGTCCATAATGGAGAGATTTTATTTGTTAGGGGCATGGATGGTATGTCCATTTAGGCATAAGGTTCATTATTTTGATTCTCGTGGACCAAAATATATCATGATGGCCTTGATTGGGGGGAAATTGGTTATTCCGAAAATTTTAATGGGTGATTAGTCACCCATAATTCCGCAGAGAATATGGAAGCAGTATATGTTCTTGGTTTGAACTTTGAAGGGTAATTTGCCAAGGAGGGAATCCTCCAAAAGTCAAGATGTTCTGGTTGGATTATTTATGGATCAATGTTAGGTAAAGCACATGTCTGTTCGGCGGATTTGAATTTTTGGATTATATATCATAATCTATAAGTGGGTCAAAGGGGAGAGATTAGTGACTGACTAATACATTTATCATGTGGGGGATTAGGAAAAGAACCTAATATTAACTGGTAAGTTCTAAGTTCAGGACATCAGCACCCGCCACATGTTGCTTATCATTTTATGTTTTGCTGACACTAGAAATTGAGTGTGATACGAGCCCTTGGAAAACTAAAATTAAGTAAACATCTACTTTGAGACGCAATCAACAAGTAACATTATTGAAGACACGATAAATCCAGCTGCAAATTGGTTAGTAGATAGTAGATACATAATATGAACTCGCCGATTTTGTTGTTCAGATCTGAATAATATCATGATGTTTACCATATTGTTTTGGTGTCTCGAATAAAATTATAGGTTTAATAAAACAGCTGCATCATGTAACAACTGTAGTATTAATGATTTCATTTCCTTGTAGAAGTAAGCTTCTATATGTTTAATATTCTCACTTTACTATATTTTTTTCTGTTCGCAATTATGGTGGCTTTCCAGTTTCTCATTGCAATATTTCAAAGGTCTGGTCTGGCGGATGTAGGAAAGCAATCAAAATTGGTGTCCTTGTTGGAGGTAGAGCCCTACCAACTTCTGCTAATATATGATCCTGCATATAGTATAGTTCCTAGATTTTAATTAAAGTTTCTTGTTCATTAGTATACTAGTATGATTGCCTGTTAAAAAATACAGAAATAAACCACAGTTGGAGAAAGTTGTACAAGAAGTAAATCATAATTTCAATGTTTTTCTTTATTCAATCTATCTATTCCCATTATCCTGTACGTAATTGATTCAGTTATACTCTTCTTCGTTCACCAAAAAATGTAGAGTAGAATTTGAACAAATGTTGCATGATTTGTTTGCAGGGATCATAGCTGGAGCTATCCTGCTGTCTGCTCTGTCTCTTCTATGTTACTTTTCTAGGCGTCGTTCCTCTTGGCTGAGAAAACAAGTGACAGTAAAACGCCTATTACGAGAAGCTGCAGGAAGTTCTACTGTTCCTCTATATCCCTACAAAGAAATAGAAAGAGCCACAAGTTTTTTCTCTGACAAACATAGGCTGGGAACTGGGGCCTTTGGCACAGTTTATGCTGGACACCTTCACAATGATGAGTGGGTTGCTATAAAAAAGATCAAGTATAGAGACACCAACAGTGTTGACCAAGTCATGAATGAGATCAAGCTCCTGTCTTCAGTCAGCCACCCAAATTTAGTGCGCCTCCTAGGTTGCTGCATAGAAGGGGGAGAGCAGATACTTGTTTATGAGTACATGCCCAATGGAACACTATCTCAACATTTGCAAAGAGAGAGGGGTGGAGTACTTCCATGGACAAGGAGACTCACCATTGCTACTGAAACTGCTAATGCTATAGCATACCTCCATTCTGCAATTGATCCTCCAATTTATCACAGAGACATCAAATCCAGTAATATACTCTTGGACTACAACTGTGAATCAAAAGTAGCAGATTTTGGGCTTTCTAGGCTTGGCATGACAGAAACATCACATATCTCAACCGCCCCACAAGGGACCCCGGGCTATGTTGATCCCCAATACCACCAGAACTTCCACCTTTCTGATAAAAGTGACGTGTACAGTTTTGGAGTTGTTTTGGTAGAGATAATAACAGCAATGAAAGTGGTTGACTTTGCAAGACCTCAAAGTGAAATCAATTTGGCTGCACTTGCTGTTGATAGGATTAGGAGGGGTTGTATAGATGACATCATAGATCCCTTCCTTGAGCCACATAGAGATGCTTGGACACTCTATTCTCTTCACAAGGTGGCTGAGCTTGCTTTTAGATGCCTTGCTTTTCATAGTGACATGAGGCCTACCATGATTGAAGTGGCTGAGGAGCTAGAACTTATCAGACGTAGCGGGTGGGCAACTATGGAGGAAACTGTATGCACAGCTTCATCTGTTGGGTCTGTGTGTTCATCGCCTCGTAATGGAAGTGCAAGTTCTCTGAGAGGTGTTAGTTTTGAGAGAGGTGCAGGACATGGGAATGAGACATTGATTGTTCAACACAAGACTGAGAGTTTTTTGCAATCAATTAAAGAGGTGAAGGACAGCTCCCCTGTGTCTGTGTATGATACTTGGTTAAGTGGAAATAGCTCACCTTCAACAAATAGCTTGTTAGGAAATGTAGCTCAGTGACATGTACACTTGTTTTTGGGTGGAACACCTATTATTTGAATGGCAAAAGGTCATCTAATATTTTCCCTTTTCTACTATTTTGCGGTTGTGAATTACAGCAATTTTTGTGTATGATTGGCACCAGGATTCTGCTTTCTTCTTTTACGTTTGTGTTTGATGTCATGGTTCCGATACCTACCATGCCCTTTTTCGCCAGAGAAGTTAGTCAAGGGAAAGGCTCAAAGTTAGAAATTGACACCAACAAAAGAAGTATTTTAATCATAAGTCAATTTTGGCAATCTATCTCGTCACTCATCAAAATATGCATCAACAAATACACACCAATTTAGTTTTTTCGCAATCAAAATTTATTGCAAAATCAACTTAAAAGGGACTAAATTGTTGCAAATTGGATAAATTAGAAGCTAATGTATGATTTTTATCAATAACAAATGATATGTCCCAACAACTTTATTTTCTCTCTCGTCTTTGATGATATCAGTAGGCTTAACTTTGCATTCTCCTGGTTTTGCCAGGAATTAATGATGATTTTACAAATTCTTGTGTAATACGGTTTATTCATTCAAATTCTTGCTGTAGTCCCTTATTGAAAGAACCCATAATTTCGGAGGCAAATACAGAAAGGTTGAAATTTCTTGGAAGACGAGCGAAATTTGTTATGTCATGAGGCGTGTAGAATGTGTAGCATTCAGCTTGTGTTTGCTTCCGATTTTGGACGTGAAAATTCAAGTTTACAGGAAGCAAAATATTCAAGCTTCCACGTAAATTTGATTGTAAAAGTGGAGAGAGAAAGAAAAATCACGTTCATAAATCAAAACCAAACACGCACTCAGTTATGGGAATAATGGAATTGAGAGTAATACGATTTCATCAAGAGTTTAACTAGTCCAATAAAAAATATCTCTCAGGTGTTGCTATTCAATAAATAGTATCAGTTCAAGCAATCAGCCGGGGAAACCAATATATATTTCAATTCTGATTTGAAGTTCCCAATGTTCCTTGTTATAGCAAACTACTTTTACTTTACCTTTTTTGAGCAAAAACTGCACGATCTTTTGCTGACAAGAGTTATTTTTGCTTTCAAAAGAGATGGCTGAAATTAAAGTCCTGTGCCAGGTTATAGAGAAGTAGCACAAATAAAATTGGAAGTAAACCGACATCTTGGATTCTATCCACTTGTAAATTGTAATTCAGAACTTCTCTATTCAGACCGACATTTTGTGTTGCATGTAGGAAAATTACAACCAGACTAAAGATAATTGAAGAGTGTCTAATTAAAAGGAAGATAGAACCTACAAAAGTTGTGGAAGACACGCATTAGGTTCAGGTTAACTCATCAAGCACATTTCATTAGGGATTCTTAGTTATAGATTGTGAATGGTGGTGGGAAAAGTCACATTGTTTCCATCTACCAAACACGCGCTTTATGACCGTAGTGTGAAAGGGGAAGCAGATAAAAAGTGCTCTTGTTCACACATGGTATCCACATTTAACATATCAAAGTTCACCCATTCCCTGTTCTCAGATGTCAGTGGAATGAAAAGAGTAAATTATTGCACGTGAAAAAGTCACAACAAGTTCAATAATTTAACAAAGTTTTCAAAAGGCATCAACAGCAATACTGCTACACATCAGGATCTAATTCCCCACACACTTCGCACCAATCTCCATCAAACTCCACCACAGTGGGCTTCCTATTGGGCCGGGCCTGGAATACCCAAAAACATATGAGACTGAACACAATGTTGTAAGTTATCAAAGAAATAATTTTCCCTTACCGGCATTTCCAAAATAAAATAAATTTTTTAATGCTCATGGAATTAGAATCGGGTATAATAAACCAAATTATATATATCATTCAAAATCACATTGTTTCCATCAAAGAAGTGAACTAGTCGAAGATTTGAGAAATTCTGAAATGGGGAACTAACTAACCTCTTGAGATGGTAACGCATGGGCACAGTGATCCTTTAAAGTCACATTGTTTCCATCAAAGAAGTGAAGCCTTGTAGATAATAAAAGTCCAATAGCTCCTAAAAACGAAACAATGGCGATTTTCTTCTTGATATCTTTGTTTGGGAATTTGGGAGGACCTACTTTAGGGGAAATCCTTTCTTTGCTATTAGCATGCTCAGCAATAGATTTTTCCTGATCCTGACATCATATGTTTAAGCATAGTTATTAGAATTAACAAAAATATAATTATATGACTAAATAATTTTTTAAAATCTTTTTAACATTTGTAATCTCTAAATTAAAATATTTTTATCTTGCAAAAACTTTGTAATTGAATCTCTGTAATTAGTTTTTGACAATTTTAAACTACCAGAAAGTGATGAGTTTCAAAAACACTAAGAACTCAATTACAAAAATTTTACGAGATCAAAAAATTGAATAAAACTCTTTTTATTTTATTTTGGGAAATTAAATTAAAATAAAATAAATTTTACACTAAGAACTCTTTCTATTCATTGTACACATACCTAATGAAGTTGGAAATTCAAATAAACTAATCTTATAATGATATATTTATATATGAATACCAAAAATTAATTCTTATGTATATATAAAATTATATATTTACCTTTGTGGAGGATTGGCCAAGATTTGGATTAGTTTGGCAAGCTAAGGTGTTGACTTTACGAGTGTTGTGACGCTGCAATGGATTTGCAACAATTTGAGGAGGTTGTGGGATTTGTAAGCATGATCGGAATAGGTTGAGAGATTGTAGGTTTAAAGACAAGTGAGCCATCGAGAGAGAAAGCAAGAACCAGTAAAGGAAAGATCCTATGGTTACGTATTTGTAGCAAGTACCAATTGCAATAAGTAGAAGTATCAAGTAGCACGGCACTGATGGTGGAAACTTGTACGCTGAATTTGATTACAACTGCTAATTTGACTTCTCTTTTTTTCTTCCTTCCTTTAGAATCCTTTAACTTTAGTCGAGACCAAACAATAGTAGAATTGCTTACTTGCGGTTCCATCGTATCTTAAGATGTTGAGACTTAACCAAGTGAGTGAAATCATATATAACAAAGGTACCCGAAAACATTGAGCGTTGAATAGTTTATGACTTTGTTGTATAAGGGCTCATACGAGATGTGTAGTTGTGCATATTAGGAGTAGGAGTCTTATTAATCAAATAAACTGAAGTGGAGGCACACTCTTCCTAGAATGCAAGAGATAAATGAGCTTGGTACATCAAAGATATTAAACAAACTAAAAACAATTTAATCAGTCTCGGTGCTTCTGATCACTTGAGCCTCATTACGTGCAGCCAAGTGAACCCTGTGCAACATCTATCAGTGTCAGAAAGTAACTATTACCATCATCATGTTTAGCTCGGGGAAAAAGACCCATATAAATTTAGTAGGAAAAATTTAACCACAAATTCATGAAGGCACTTAATTTCCTATTGGTTGATTAATAAATTAAATAACAATTAAAAAGTTAAGGAATAATGAAACAAAAATAAAAACACGTACGTCAATTCTTGCATCATGTTTTGTTTGGTATTTCAAAAAGATATCGCCTAATTAATTAATTGCAATATGCAATATATACTAAAAGCCAAACACGCGAGAGCTAGACGTTGCGAAAGATTTTGTGATTTCGCGATGCAATATGTATTGTTCCTTGAAGCCAACAAGAGTGGTGGGGTGAAAATTCCAAGCTCAAAAATAGACTTGTTAAGTGATTCACTATGCAGGGCGTTACTACCTCAAGTATATGAAGCTGTTCCTACTGTGAGTTTCACGCATAAGGTGACAAAGAAACATATATAAGAAAATAGTAGATGTTTACTAGGTGCCATTTAAGATTTAACACTGGATATATATATATATCTTGAGTGATCGATCACATATAATTTGTATGCGTAGCAGGGTTCCAAAGTTAAAGGTAGCATGTGTATTAGGGTGTTGTGTAGGAAGTGCGGGAAATACTCGTGGGCTGGATGCGGAAGCCACTTGAATATAGTGTATAAAAGCATACAAGAGGGAAATCACTGCATGTGTCGCTCATGGCCTGGCGTCATCATACCCTCACCTACTCAGCAACCAGCACAATCATCTACTATTACTACTCCACCCCAAGGTAAATTAAAACAATACTTTTTATGTTTATGTAAGTTAAGAAATTGCAAAAAGGGTTGCTGATAGTATAATAATATGATAGGAAGAGAAAGAAAGAAAGAAATAATGGATGTTAATTAATGAAGTATATGATGCATGAAAGTGTCCAGTATTATTATCATGTACTCGTATTGTAAGAAACAATGGATATCAATTCATTTCCTTTGGTTGTTGAACAAAGCAAATGATTGTACGAAAGGGATAATAAACAAAGCTAGATGAGTTTAATAATCTAAGACTAGGGTAGCTAATATTGCACTATCTTGAGACATAGTAAATGAAAATGGATATCATTGAAGTATTATGAATAGGACACCTGAACCCAACAAATAGCTGATTTATAAGTGACAAGATTAATTGAAATTAATATATAATAGTACTAGTTTAGAGCAAGAAGAACCTTGACTAAGAACTCGCTATATGCGCTAAAGTGGCTTATAAAGATGAAATTTACTTTTTCTAAATGCTGTTTTCTGCAGGTAATGGGAATCCTCAAATTCTTGGAGCAGTCGCTGTGGATGCTCTGCAATAACAATATTTTAGCTTCATGGTGGGATGCTAAGGAGATAGAGAGAGAAAGAGAAAAAAAGAATTATCAGGATTTGAAACCTTCGTATGTTGCTCGTGTGTTGCTTGCTATAAAAACAATCAAATGTTCATGAAAAAAAATGTTAATCCATTAGCTTGTTTTGTAATTTTTATGCTAAGTGTGCATCTACTAATAAAAAAATTTGCCTTATCCAAAAATCTTCTTTAGCTTGTTTTTGTTAATATATATATTTCATTTAATAAAAATGTAGACTATTAATATAGACATAGTACATCCATATTTACAATATATATATATATATATACATATATATATATATATATATATATATCAATAATCATTTTTGTTTATATTATATAACGTAGGGGGTGGTCAAGGTTAAACTAACCTAACGTGCATGGTTTTCTATGTTTATGGTTCAATTAATAAAGAATAATGTCCTCTGTTCTTGTGCTGATTGTTATATAAAATGCTTCAAAACTTGGCACTTAACTTTTGGATTTATTTATTATTATTATTATTATTATTATTTTATCTTTTGTCATGGTTTTGTGCTCCTTTTTTAACCTACTCTTTGTAAATGTGTGCATGTCCTCGAGCGAGAGAAAAAGTGGGGGCGGGAATTGGTGAACAAAGGAGGAATTTTTTACGTAAATATTATTTTTTTTAAAAAAAATTACCCAATTAACCATTGTGCAGGTTTATTTACAGAGATAGAATCATTCACTGTTCAAGCTCAGAATTCGGTTCCCGGGAAACCGAATTCTGAGCACCAAAGTGTATTTTTTTTTGTTTTTCCAACTTAGAATTCGGTTCCCCGGGAACCGAATTCTGAGTTGGTTTTATATATATATATATATATATAT